GGAGATGTCTCAGGTCTGTTTTTATCCAAGCATGTCGCTTTAGCACAAATAGAAAGTTCAGGGTGAATTAAATGTCCAAGGTTATGAACAAAAGCATGACAGATCCAGAGCTTCCAGGATCTTCCAAGCTGTTGTCTTGGTGATAAAGGTTAACAGGAGACTTCTTTCCAATTTCTGTCAAAAGGAGAATTTTTTTTCCCCTTCCATCCCAGAATATGCTTGTTATTTCTGCAGCCTCCTCGGACTCTCCTGCCAGATTGTAGAGATGTATAAGATCGGATGTAGACTCCAGATTCGGCAATGTTACCGCCTCATTTATTTCTCCATTATTACAGCACGGGAGGCAGAAGTAGGGTGTTGGAGTCTCGTACAATATTCTCCTGAAGAAAACGGGGGGCTGAGAGTGCGGAGCATGAAGAGCATCCAGGAGAGCAGCTCTGGTGGGGGATAAGCAGGAGCTATAGAAATGGTCTCTGTAGGGTACTTTGAAGCTGAGTGATGAAGGAACAGGAGTCTTGTGGGGGCGGGGGGCTCTCTGTGGAATGGCTCAAGCAGAGTCACAGAAGCGGGCTGATCCAAAAGGTCACATGTACACCTTGTCGAGGGGTTTCTCAGCTAACAAACTTCCGAGAGTGGAGTCGCATATTCACAAAGCCAGGCGTTACCCACCGTGGCCATGTGTCATGTTAAAGCAGGGCACAGTTAAAGTCACTGTCTATTTGGACCCTGAGGACCAGCAAAACAGCAGAACCTTCCTAAGGCTCACAGTGACCTTTCCACTGTGTAATAATTTGGAGTCTAAATGTGCAGAGTCTGAAATAGCTTACTCCTCCAAGCATCTCCCTCTTTATCATGCTTATTCTTTTTTCCCCCGGTTTCCCTCTTCCCCTCTTCCCACTCACTGTTATTCTCACTGCCCTTGCCAAGGAGTCTTTATAAATGATGAGACTGGGAACCACCTCCCACGGCGTTCTCTGACTTCCAAGTGTGCACCATGTCAGGTGTGCATGCACACACACACATACACATCACACACAATGTTTTTTGGAGGGAAGGGGAGGTTTCGAGACAGGATTTCTCTGTCTGACTGTTCTGACCATCCTGGAACTCACTCTGTAGATCAGGCTGGTCTCAGACTCACTAAGATCCACCTGTCTCTGCTTCCCAAGTGCTAGGATTAAAAGCATGCACCACTGCCACCCGGCTCACATATAATTTTTAATTAAAAATTAATAAACTAGGGGGCTGGAGAGATGGCTCAGTGGTTAAGAGCATTGCCCGCTCTTCCAAAGGTCCTGAGTTCAATTCCCGGCAACCACATGGTGGCTCACAACCATCTGTAATGAGGTCTGGTGCCCTCTTCTGGCCTGCTGACATACACACAGACAGAATATTGTATACATAATAAATAAATAAATAAATATTTTTTAAAAAAATAATAAACTAAAAGAGATAGCTCAGTGGGACATCTGCTGCCAAGCATGGTGACCTGAGTTCAATCCCCAGGACCTACACTGTAGGAGAAAATTGACTGTGGAAGTACTCTGAGTTCCACATCCATGCCTGTGAGTGCTCGCACGTGCACATGCGCACACACACAATTAAAGGATGAATACCTAGACTTTAAAATCAAATCATTCAACATACTTTCCTTCAAGATGTAAAATCTGCCACTGTGTTTTAGGTTTCCCTTCCTAAAGTACTACACATGCTCCGGAGACCATTGTACAACTTATGACCGCAGGGCCCCACAATCTAAAACACCTGCTCCCAAAGCTGCAGAAAGGTGCTTTAGGGACAGGGCAGCTAGAGATCAACCACCCCCCTCTCACAGGCTTCACAAGTGAGGACCAGTTTTTAATCCTTTGGAATTTCGCAACTCTGACTTTGTGGCAAACTGCCATTGTCTATTGATGGAGGCAACCTGCGCTTCTCTGAGTGACACATGACACCAGGGTCACTAGCACATGTCCCTGATTCTTCACCTCAGTCACCACAGCAGGCTCTTCACACATTTGACAACATCATTCACTTAGTGTCTGGGCAAGAGGGCTGTGAGCGTGGCCTGCCTAGCCTGGGTCCATTGATCATAAGGAGGGTTTTTTTGCTGTTTTGTTTATTGAGACAAGGTTTTGTGTAGCCTAGACTGGCATCAAACTCTTGCCATGTAGCTAAGGATAGATGTGAACCCCCTTTCTTTCTGCTTTGAACTCCCATAGCTGGGGTTACAGGTGTGTACACTAAATCCAGTTTTGGATTGCTGCTGCAGCAGCAGCAGTGGAGGAGGCAGTGGCAGGGGTGATGCATATTTTAGTTAAAATTTATTCCCAGTATCTAAACATAAAAAGATTTCTTACATGGAGATCCATTGAGTTCCACTCTGCTCTTCCTCTTTCTCCTCCTTCCATTCCTTCCCCTCCTCTCAGCACTCCCTCCTTTTTACAATTGAAGAAAGAGAATCTCAGTACAGTTATGTGACATGTCCTAAGTCACACAGAGCTGAGATTAGATCCCCGGTCCTTGACTTCCTCCCCAGAGTCCCTATCAGAGTGTGTCGTGGTGCTGAATGGCACTTTCTTCTTCTTTTGTCCAGTTCACCCTCTGCATCCTCCTGTCTGCTTATTTCCTAAGCCCCACACAGCCCATGCCTTCCTAGTCTAGTCTGGGTTTTACTCCAACACCCTGCCGTTCAGTCATTTGTCACCTGAAATTGCTCTACCCTCAATGCACTGGTCCTTAGACTGAATGGGCACATCATCTGATTAAAGAATTTAATAAACTCTGAACTGGTGTGTAAAGGCACGTTTAATGTAAACTTAAATACTGTCAGCATGCTTCATCTTGAGAGAAATCCCTTCGCTCCCTCTGATAGGAATTTCGTTCTCACTTGGCTGAATATGCATGAATGTCACAGCCTCAAGAACACTTACCCCAGCCATGGGATGTGCTGAAATGAGGTCACACTTTGTGACCCTCAGGGAAGCACCATAGTAAGTGCTTGGAAGAGCCATGTGATTACCGCCTGCTGCTCCATTGAACAGAACAACGTCTCTGTTAAAAGTCTAGCTCAACAGTGATGAGGATTAAAAAGTAACACGAAGAAAAGTAGCAGAATGAAAAATTGGAAACTGGGTAAGGGAAAAGAAAGTAGATGTTCAGAGGAGTCTGAGTATCAGTCTGCGGTACCCATGTTTGCAGTATCCAGGTCTACGGTATCCAGGTCTGTGGTCCCATGTCTGCGGTACCCAGGTCTGCGGTGCCCAGGTCTGCGGTACCCACGTCTGTGGTACCCAGGTCTGCGGTCCCAGGTCTGCGGTACCCAAGTTTGCGGTATCCAGGTCTGTGGTACCCTGGTCTGCGGTACCCACGTCTGTGGTACCCACATCTGCGGTACCCAGGTCTTCCGTACCCACATCTGCGGTACCCACGTCTGCGAACCCATGTCTGCCGTACCCAGGTCTACAGACCCACGTCTGCGGTACCCACGTCTGTGGTGTGGGTACCCAGACCTGCGGTACACACGTCTGCAGTACCCAGGTCTGCAGTACCCTGGTCTGCGGTACCCACATCTGCGGTACCCATGCTCCAGTTGTCTGTAGAGACTTGGTTCCAGAAAGCTTGGAGAGAAGAGTGGATGGAAGGACCTGAAGTCCTTCTGCATCGGTTTTCCTTTTATAGCTGGAGCAATCTGGTCTGGCCCAGCTCTAAGGCTGTCTATTGTCCCATCCTCATTTTCATATGCCTATGGATCATTCTTTTTTGCCACAATGAGTTTGGGTTTATTTCCATGAAAACTTTGTGTAGTTATTCCATGTGCCATTATTGGAAAAACCAAAAACATGAAAACCTCAGATGTATAGTACTTGTTTGTTAGTATTTGTTAGGCTCACACACACGTTTTTCTCTTGGGTGTGTATTTTAAAGATTTTTGCTTTGAGTTTTACATCAATGCTGAGAGTTGGTGAAACAGTTCAGTCAACGAAGTGCTCCCACCCAAACACGAGGATCTGAGTTTGCTCCCCAGAACCCATGTGAAGCGAGGCACAGGTGCCCATGCTTGTAAGCCCATCACTAGGGCTGGAGGGGCAGAAGGGGTTCACTGTCTGACCACCATAGCCTATTTGGTGAGCTCCAGCCCAGTGAGAGACCGTGTTTGTTTGTTTTTACATGTGGACAGTTCCTAAGAAACTACATTCCTTTGTCCTTTGACCTCGTATGCATGTAGACACGTATACATGTACACTGCAAATATATGTAGTAATACATACACTACAGTCACTGCCAAAAAAGCATTATAATTTATAAATTCAATATGCCCTGTATCTTATTATTATCATAATAACTTAATAGTTAGAACTGCTTTGTCCTTAGGGGTAGGACTGTTGTTACACTGCAGAAGCTCCTATATGTGTTATAAGACTATGTTTTCAGATTTACTTATGTGCACGCATGTGCACCTGCATGAATTTGTGTGCACCGCATATATCCAGGTGCCCACAGAGACCAGAGGGCACTGGGCTTTCTGGAAATGGAGTCAGAGGCAGTTGTGAGCCTTCTGAAATGGGTGCTGGGAACTAAACCCAGGACATCTAGCAAGAAAAATAAACACTCTTTGCTGGTGAGCTCTCCCTCCAATTCCAATTCTATATCTGTAATATAATGAAGATGACTTCACTATATAGAAAAGCAGGAATCTTAGAATCTTAGAATTGTGTATGTCAATATCCCATTTGGCTTTTGATTTGCGTTTTCCAAGTGCTTAGTGATAGCTGGAATGTACTCTCATGTGTTTATTGGCCTTGTATGTATGTTCAGAAATTTGGCTGTACACATGGGTGTAAAAATGGTGCACCCTCAAAGAAGGTAGCAGCAGAAAGACCGGCGGCCCCTTTGTCTCTTCTTCATTCAGCACGGGAACTGCAATCCTCTGAAACTACATAGCTCAGTGCAGCGGTTCTTCTCCTGTCCCCTGGGCCTCACACATGGTGTTTCTCTTGCAGATTCTATATAGAAAGCATCTCCTACCTGAAGGACAACGCCACCATCGAGCTCTTCTTCCTGAACGCCAAGTCCTGCATCTACAAGGTACGAATGTGCTCTCCCTGTTCAGCTTCCTGATGGAATCAAAAATATCAAAATGTTGCCCACAAGGCAGTTCTATTGATTAGGGAAAGTCATTTATAAATTCATTGCTACAAATAAATGAGAAATTGCATGCAAGGAAAGCCACCAGCTAAACAGCTTGACTTCCTCCTATCCTGTCACTGTTTTGGCTTTACAGAAGTGTTCCTCCTGGTAGAGAGGTCAAAGCAAACAACTAGTCACATCAGAGCCGCAGTCTAGAGCAGAGAGGAAGGGATGTGCACTTGCTTGCTTGTGCTTGGTTCTCCGTCTGCACTCAAATACAGTTCAGTCCTCCCCGCCTAGGGAGTGACACCACCAGCAGTGGACTGAGCCTCCCCATGTCAGTTAACTTAACTAAGACAATCGTCCATAGACAACCTGACCTAGACAGTCAGTCCCTCGCTGAGACCCTTCCCGGGTGACTCTGGGTGTGTCAGGTTGACAGCACTTCCTTCATACCGTCATCCTCTGAAGCTCACATGAAGCACAGCCTTGGAGCTTAATGGGAATTGCCTGGATCCCACCACCACCATCTCTCTTCTGTGGGGAAGAGGAGTCACGGGGAGAGTGACATATCTACTGAATAGCAGAGTCACTCTGTTGGTCAAGGGGAACCTAATTCCAATCACAGAGTTCAGCCACGGCCATGCTATGTTCATGAAGGGCACACTCTTTGCACATTGTATCCAGAGAACTTCAAATGTGAGTCCCCTGGTTAAGGGGCCCCTGGATGCGTTCGGAAAATTCCAAGGAGAACTCGTGGCATGTGGCTTTCTGGTTCAGATCTCTGGTTGGGAGCACGGTAGTAACTTACCACACTTGAAAGCAACAGGGCAGAAATCCAGTAGCAGCTGCAGCTTTTCCTCGGGGGAGCTCTTTACCTGAACTGCCAGAGATAATGCCACCATTCATCACGGTGCAGGGCCTGGTGGAAACCAGGTTCAGCTCGCAGAGAGACCTCACTTGGCGGTAGCTGGTGACCCGGGACATATACCGGGCTGAAACCCGGAGCCTGCAGATGAGAAAACTTTGTTTTTGTTGACTGCTGGGGAAAAAAAGAAAGCGTTAATTTAGTTCCAGGTGCTTTCAAATTCCTTCCTCCCTCTAATCCCTAGTTTTCTCATTATGAGGTGGAAAGAATAATACTATCCAGATACCTTACAAACCATAGGGGCACCTGAGGGGTTTCTTAAATGAATGGGCAAGCGCTTTTTTTAAAAAGTTGAGAAATGATAATTTTAAAAAAACAACCTGAGCACTGCCCACAAGGGGGCAGACTTGAGCTAAAGTAAAGGGCTATCCCTGAGCTTTTAGTAAGGACACTCAGACCAATTAAATTAGTGCCTGGTGCACACGTGCATAAAGGGGAAGGCAGCTGTTTCCTGGAGTAGCTTGGTTCCTCTTGGTTCCGTGTATGTGCTGAGCTTGCGGTAATCGAGGAGATTAAGTCCTCAGAAGTAAATATTACAAATTTCCCAAGAGGAGGTGCAGGTGGCCTCTAGTGCTGGCCACATTTAAAGTCCAGGTGACCCCAGCATTGGCTTGCTTGCCAAACGGAAAGTGGGAAACATTTCAGAGCCAAGCTCTCTCTTCTTAAAATCCTTTCTGGAACATGGTCACAAAAGTGACCACAAGTGATCAGGGATGAGTCCTCAAAGCTCATGTAGACAGAATCTCTACCCTGTTTAGCTCGGTCATCTAAATATTTTCTTTTGCAAACACTGACAGGTTTTACTAGCAGGTTTGTTTGGATACATTTTGAGCCTTGTAAACTTCTGAGGACGGTGAAACTTTGCCGAGGAGGAAGCTGTTGCCCAGAAGCACCGGAAGTGACCAGACAGCAGTGTGCCCTATTAGCCACATGCAACAGCATGTAACAATAACAGAAGTCCTCACGGTTGTAGATATTTAGGTTTTGCTGCAACAGCCTTGGGTTCCTACCAGATAAATCTGAGTGTCTTCCACAAACTGTCTCCAAGCTTCGTTTTCCTTTTTGACTAAACAAAGATACTGCAGGATCCGACCCACACCTTCTGACAAGGCATGAAAAGTACTTAGCGCCGTGCCACGCACTTGATCAAGCCACTTGGATTCTCATACATTTTTCTTGACTACCGTTTCCTGGGCCACCTCCATGGCCCCAGGTGTATACTGAGACAGAAGGCAGGGTGACTTAATTAGTAACTTGTCACATTGTTGCCGCCCCAAACATTGATATCAGACCCCTTGCTATTTCTTGGAGATGACTCTTCCAGGGTTTTTCTTTCTCTTGCTTGCTTGCATTTTGTGGACTCCAGGTTGAGCACAGGGCTTTACATATCTTAGGAACGCACTCTACCGCCGGGCTGTATCCAGGCTCTCTCTACTGTTTGTTTTGACAAAATGTCTCACTCCGTTATCCAGGCTAGCTTTAAATGCACTGTGTAGTTCAAGCTATCCTTGAACTTAAATTCTGCTGTCTTTGCCCCCTGAAAAGCTGGAATTACAGGCCTGCACCACCAAACTCAACTCCTACCGTGTTTTAGAGCTAAGCTGTCCAGGTGAAATAAGTTATTTACCCCCTGCTTTTTTAACAGACCTTTTCCCATTCACATTTCAAAATATTAAGATCTGTTTTTGACAGGGAACAGGAGAGATGGCTCAACAATTAAGAGTTTGATTTCCAGCACCCACATAGTGGCTCACAACAGTCTTTAACTCCAGTTTCAGATCTCATGCCCTCTTCTGACCACCCTGGGCACCGTGTATGCATATGGTACACATACATACATGCAACTAAAAGACTCACACATACAAAATTAAAAACAACAACAACAACAACAACAATATTTTAAAACATTTTAAAAAGTCAGGCCTTGATTTAATCGGACTGTAACTCAGTCAGGAATGTCTGAGAGACCCTGGGCTCAATCCCCAACCCAGCACAAAGAAGGGGGGCGTATTATTACTATCTGAGTAACAGAAGACAATTTAAAAGGGAAATGGGGGTGGGGCAGTGAGATGGCTCAGTCAAGGTGTTTGTGGCCAAGACTGGTGGCCTGAGTGTGACCCTCAGGACACAGACTGGAAGCAAAAAGCCCGTGAGTTGTCCTCCGATCGCCACACCTGTTCACACATGTGCACATACTGTAATCAAACAGCTGAAGTCAAACGGTTCTCAGAGGCATGTCATGCAAGCGCACCCATCTCTTCTGCTATGCAAATCCTACCCTTCGGGGTCACTTTGTTCTTCTCTCTACTATTTGCCTCTTTAATTCTAAATACATGGTCCAGTTCTTCCTTGGTTTGACACCTCTCAGTTTATTCAACTCTCCATAAGATAGGCGGAATCGGGGTGTTCTCTGTAGCACCCACACACTCCCTTCCCTAGTTTTCTCAGGGCAATTTCGTACTGCTGGGTGGAAGCCATAATAGTCATTGGCATGACAGGACTCATCGGGGCATTGTCCCATGGCTCTGATTCCTTTTTTTTTTTAAACAATGGGTGGTTTTACCTAAAGGAATTTGTTACCTTGTTTTCCTTTGTTTAGTTTCTATGTATCCTTGTTGTTTTTTTTTTTCCTCAGAGCTCCCACAGGTTCCCAGATATATTTTAGTATTGGGTTCCAATGTGGCAGCAGTTCCTCAGCTCTCTGCTTTGAGTTGGTGGCTGCTGCTGCTATTGGTTTTCCTGAGAAGTCCCTCTTGGAACCCTCTGCCCTTCTGTTCCATGAACTTGGCCAGCTTTGCTACTCTCTTCGTGGGAGGCTGCTCTCCTGTCTGGGTCTTTCCCCACCCCTGCTCTGAATTGCATCATTTGTCTTCTGAGTCCTGCTTTGTCTGGTTGGTTGGTTTTACACCATTTTTGAGGGATTGGGGGGGGGGGTACTGTTTTCCTGGACAAGATTCCCAAGTAAATCTAGAGAAAGGACACCATAAAGTAAAATATTTGGAACCTTGTATGTCTGAAAATGTCTTTATCCCCTCCCCCGTCATACCTACTTAGAAGCTGGATTAGATATAGGGATGCAGAATGACAGCTTCTTTACCAGGTGCTGGTCTAGAAATGCCCACTGTCCTGTCCGCTGCATGTGCCACCCCTGTGCCATCTCCCAGCAGCTGGATCTTTGGGGCTTTCCTCTGCGCTCCTCTTGATCTAACATCTCAGGAGAGCTGATCTTTGTAGATACACTTGCTGAGGACGTTCTGGGTAGATGCTTTTATTCTGGCGACTCATAAATCAATTCTTTCTGAATTATTTCTATGTTATCTTCTCTTTTATCTCCATCCTCTCTTCTTGGAAATACTTTAAATTGGAAGCTAGGGCAGGTGTGTGTCCCCTTTTCCATTTCTGGCTTCTTATTCTGCTTTCTGGGAAGTTTTTGTCAGCACTGCCTTCCATCACTTCTTTTGATTTTTAACCTTAACACACACACACACACACACACACACACACACACACACACACTACATTGCTTCTAAGACTACCTTTGCATTTCTGAACTCTTTCTTTTAAAATATCATATGTTAGGGTTTGGAAAGATGGTCAGTAGTTAAAAGTGCTTTTTGTTCCTGGAAAGGTCTCCATTTGGTTCCCATCAGCCATATCAGGCAGCTCACAACTGCCTGTAACCCCAGCTCCAGGGGATTCAGTGACCTCTACTGACCTCCACGGGCACATGCATGAGATACACACATATACACAAATAAAAAAAATATTTGATATTGAAAGACTCCTGGTATCCACATTTACACTCAATTGTTAATTTAAAAATTGTACCTTAGGAATATACTATCTCTTATCATTTTGATTACATTAATTACAGTGCATGCTCAACTTCCTCTCTGCTTCTTAGTTCATCCTTTTTCTACCTCTGCCTTTTCTGTAGGATACATCCCCACCTCCACCCCCAGCCTCTCAACCAACCCCCACCCTGGTCTCTCTTGCTGTGTGTGGATGTGTGCGTGGATGTGTGCATGTA